ATAGCCCAAGAAGGGACGCAGTTGAAGTCAAGGTCAGGGATTAGATTCCTGTATTTCATTAAAAGGGCGTTTCCATTCAGAAAAGATTTTTACGGACTCGCAAGTGAGAATGCACTCGTCCAGTAAGGTGATGTCATCGCTGCCGCCACGTAATTCGATGGATAGCCCAATTGGCGGTTTTTTCAAGGGCATATGTCTCTTCAATAGCGCATTTGCCAGATTTGCTGAGCTCTTAAGAGCCGGCTCAGACTGCTGTTGTCGTGAAAGTGTTTTGAGGGACTCCTCAGGGGCGAAAACTGATAGCTCTTTAAATCTCCTTCGTTTCGTTCCAGAATAGGCTAGCAAGGAAACCCATAGTGATGTCGATATCGCGGACAGTTTGCGCTTTATTGAATTCTTGACCCCTGCCCCTTTAGCGCCCGGCTCATTTACGGCCCTTTTCAATCCAAAGTCTCCAGTCAACTTCACTCATCTCCTGACAGTCTTGATCGCTGCGGACGCTGGGGCATGTTAGGGGAGCGCTGAGTTTTGACGCCGGCGCCAGCGTCGTTTTCACCAATCTGTTTGAACGTCAAGCGACAAGTCATTTGTGGAAAAGGGGCTAGGCGCCCCGCGTCAAAACCATCCTCCTCGACATGCGCTCAGCAGTGCAGCGAGTAACGGCTGTACATCTCTTACCACCGGGGAGGGGGGGAAGCAACTCAGAAATTCATTGTATCTTCCACGCAAAATCCTCACAGCAGGTCAACAAGTCAGCAGCTTCACATATGACGAGAAAAGAAAGCCAAAAAAGGCGTTCATGTTTAGAACACCCTACGTAAGAACACCTATCGCCTCACTGTACGCAGGTTCCCGGAACCTACCCGTTATCATCCAGCAAAAGCGGTACATGCCGCTCATGCACTAGTCACTTCCTTGCATCATAGAATGCTAATAGAATTTAATAGTTTGAAAAAAAAACAAAAATCACGGTGTAAAAACGGAATTGGCGACAGAAAATAGTCTTTTGATCGGTGGGCGGACAACTAGGCGAGGCCGTCAAGACTGCCACGTACGGAGGGGCACTTACTTATTTAGAAGCTGCGAAAGTGGGACAGTCATAGAGAATGTGAACCAGACTACTTGAACAAGGAACGCACTAACTGATCAAACGCGGGACTTTTTTAAATCGAAAGACTTAAGACTTTGAAAGACCGTATCAGACTTTCAGACCTCCAGAGAAAATTTGCTGATTCCGCTCGATTTTCTCCGTTCCATAGGCATTGGACACCCCCTCCCCAACGCTCAATCGACATTAGTTCTCTGGAGGAAAACTGGAAAAACATGGGGGAAAAATCAGTAGGAAGATCTGAAAGTCCACCAGGATGAGGTAGGTAGGACGGGGCAGGGAGGTCGTACCCAGGGTTCGTCTTGTCATTGGAGAGAAATTTTGCAATATATGACCCCACCTCGGAATTTCTCCATTGGTGCGACCTCCTTTCCCCATACCCCCACTACCCTTTTATCTTCCCAACTTCCTCTACTTTTTCGGAATCGTTTCGAAAATTCCTGTACTTTTCCCTTGTCACAAAGGCCACACCCTTCCAGCGACCAAATACGACCCCCATCGCTAGGGCTCCTCAACATGCGGCGTGTCCTGGTCGTAACAGAGAAGAAAATTGGAGGGTCAGGGAGTCGTATTTTGCAAAAATTTCACACAAAATTGAGTTGCCTGTACCTAACCACCGTCTGCATGAATTCGATATTTCAAAAGAGCGTAGTCTTTCTTAACCATTCTTACTTTTCGTTATACCATAAATGGGAATTAGATAGAAAAACCCCAAATCGATTTGGTGGTGGAACGTTCCCTACAGTAGCCTAATCAAATAAGGCAGTTTTGTGTCTGTCTGTAATTCATTCGATGAGCCTTCCATTGCTGCTATGAAATTCATTGTGACAAGATTCTCTTGTCCCAGATTCCATATTTCGAATGATTCTCCACGGCTGCTTGTTTAGAATACGGATTTCTACTCTTTGCGAATGTTCGCGGAAATCTGACTCCTTATGACGTGCTAGCATTGCGTAATAGATTCTGATTTCTTATCAATGGAAGTAGAATGCGTGGCGCATTCCAAAGAGTGCTAGAACCTCATCCTTTTGATCCTGACTGGGGCTGCTGTCCTCACCAGTTGTATCCGAAGTGCAGCACCGTGAAGAGAATCCCATCAGACATTGCATTTTGTCTCTGCAGAAGGGGGAGGGGTTCGTTTCTGCCTTTGAGGGAAATTTTTTCGAATCACAGGAAACTTCCAGTTGCTCTTTTTTCCTGTTTAGGCTGGGTATATATTCTTCCCAAAGCGATTTTTTATTTCCGGAGAAAAGTGGGAAGTTTTTGCAAAATAGGAAAGGAGTTGGTAGAATCTGGCCAGAAAGTGGTAGGTTGTCAAATAGGGCGTATCCAGAGCACGTCTCGCCGTTGGGGAAAATTCTTGCAGATTACGACCCCTTCCCCATAATTTCCCCCTGTGGTACGACCCCCTTTCCCCATCCTACCTGGCGTCTTCCCAACTTCCTGGATTTTCCTGATTTCCAATCACTTTCAGCAGTTTCAGTTTTTTCCAAAATTCCTTACTCCCCCCGCCCCCAAAGAAAAAAAACTGCGGTTGAACCACAAGGAGGGTAGGGAGGTTATAACTCACTTAAAGCAGGAAAAACCAAGGAAGTTAATAACCAGAAACATTTTCCTCAAAGACAAATAATACCCCTCCCTCGGGCGACGAAATACGACTCCCTTGCTGGATATTCTCAACCGAAAACGTCCCCTGGTCGTAGCTGAGGAGGATTAAATTTGAGAACGGTCGTACTGCAACATGCGCAACAAGAGCCCACTAATGAATGCATCGCACAAGTCGCGAGCCAAACATTTCACCTATCCCATGCTATACTCTGACAGTATCTGCGTAGGACTGTTGATTTTGTTGTTTTGCTTGATGTTTGGCTCGCGACTTGTGCGATGCATTCATTAGTGGGCTCTTGTTGCGCATAATTCCTTGGAGAGTTCGCGGCTGCGCTATGGAAACCGCACATGGGTAAGGGATACATATTAACAATGATATCAACGCAACAGACAAAAACGATTCCCATAGGGAGCGTTCCCAGGTAGCTCTTGACTCTCTGTTCTCCGGGAGAAATAGCTTCCGCGCCAAACAAATGTGAAATTCTTGCTCAGACGAAAAAAACTACCACCGGACATGAACTTCTGGCTGAATTCCTCGGGGACAGATTTCCGGAAATATCAAACCCCCTTTATGGAAATGGAGGCGGTAAAGGGTTGGTAGTGCTAAATTGCCGACGGTTGGGAGCTGTGCGGTGCTATATGTCACAGCGAACGGCACTTCAGACTATGCAAAGGTGGACGGGTTATGCTTGAAAGGCATGCTGGACGATTACAAATCGAAGGGAAAGTACGTCCAAGCACTAATGTAAAAGAGTCAGGGAACTCAGCGATGAAGGATGCGGAAAAAAGCCGTTGAATTTGCTCTGCATAAGACCCCCGTGGGTCCCGCCCACTACCTGAGCATACGAGCAAGAAGCATGGAAAAGAGAAACAGAAGAAAACATGGCGAGAAAGTACGACCATTGAGATCTCGTCGCTACACAGCATAGCAAAACGAAGTGGTAGAGGTGGAGAGCGGATGGAGGCGGAGCTCACCCATCGTGGCCTAGTGGTGGCGTTCTTATCAAGCGCTTTCGAGTCGCAAAAGCGGCACAGTCTGTGATTGCGGACCGCACCACTTTGAGCAAAGGAGTGATTGTGCATGTTGTGCAATCGCTGGCTGTTTCTTTAAGTTGTACTCTTCCCTACGATTCCATAGCAGCCATAAAAAACTGCTGTGTTTGCAGTTGTTCCGATAAGGTTAGGAGTTCTAGACTGCATTCCATGGCTATTGGCAGGCTATGGCCATGCCCTTTCCAAGGGCAAAAGGGGAGTTTGTGCTTTCTTCCGGTAGCGAAAGGAGGTCTTTTCAGAGAGCGTCTCGTCTCGATGACAAGTGAATGTTCATTTGTGTTTTGTGTGCTTTTGAAATCGTTCACTTTGTTGAAGCTGTGCACCCCGTAACTTTGCACGGATTTAGCTTTTACAATATGCTTTCTTATATGGAAAAAGGACCAGGGGAGTTAGATTACTGTAGCTGTGTCGAATGTATCGAACTGAGGAGGGTGGGAGAAGAGCTAAAAACAAGGCCCCTCGCTTTGTGGCGACGGCTCAGCTTACGTAGGATTGGTGAAAAAGGTACATGGACAAAAGCAGGCAGCGAAACTTGCGCAATATCCCTCATGAGCAGTGTTAGCGAACCCTCCCCCTCTCATTGAGCAGCGTGCGAACCCCCCCCCCTCCACTGCTTCCGTCGTTGCGAGGAGGTGCAACTGAATGACGTCCATTAATCGTTCGTGAGTGTGCCATGCGTGTGACTTCCATGCAAAGTCGCTGGAGCTTTTTGCTTGGTCCGCAACTAAGCCAGTGCATCAGCCAAAAATCTTTGAATCTTGAAGTCATCTTCTGATCTTTACCACTTTTTTTTGCTTCCTGTAATGCTACAGGCTATTTGAAGTTTTTGTTCATCAATAACCTCATTACATCTTGACCCGAAGAATGACCTGAAAAACTTAGTGAGTTTTTGTCGGCTTTTAGTGGGGATGTTTTGAGCCGTCCTCATTGAGCACCGCCGATGTCTCGTGTTGGAGAGACCTGTTAAATTTCCTGGTTAAAACTATGTGTTAGTAGGTGCGTTGTTCACAATTTAGCAAAGTGTCCACAGCCGTCTTATCAAATGTACGAAAATGGTAATTTAAGGCGGACACAACAGTGGAAAAGCGAAAAAGCAGAATGACCTCCCCACTAAGCAGAAGAAGCGCCGTTAGGGTTTCGTATCTGACCAATGCAACGACGTGCAAAGTGCTTAATTCCACGTCAGTGTTTCCCCGTCGAAGACTTGGGCAAGGGGAGGGGGAGGACGAAAATGCCCTTGGAAGACAAGTCGACTCGAAGAGTTTACGATCGTGCCTTACCAATGTGCCAAGTTATACCCCCTCCCCCGCTATTGTTACGATACCATCTCCGTCATACTATCTGCGACTTTTATCTGGTTTTGAGAGTTTTACCTTCATATTAGGGGAACATACCTTCTTGAGGGCAGAATACACATTGAAGTCACCCTTCGTGATGTACTAAATAAATAGATAGAAAAATAATAAATTTATTTCGGTAAAGTTGCATTTCGTTAAGTGAAATTTTTAGTTCTATTTGACTACGCGTAGAGCTCGGAAAATCGGCGAGAATTTGTTCCATCTTGATCCTCCAGGGTAAAATCCGCGTTGATCGTATGGGCGTGGTCAGGCCTACCACTACTGTATGTTGTTCATTGATGTGCATGATAAAGGGAGCGCACCAATGAAGAAGTCACAACGGTACGTATGATTCCGCCCATATGACCATCGTGGAATGTACCTCTAAGTCTTTAAAAGTTACCGCTTCTCTTGTGACAAGCGTAGATTTATGCCAAATTTATCTTTTACGTTGCAGGATGGGACCACATCGAATACTGTACAACGCCCTGTGCAAAGTCGGTGACAAAGTGGTCTATCCGATTCTGCCGACGTTCGCAAAACCAGCGTGGAACCATCCAGCTGGGCCAAAAACCGTCTTTTTCTGGGCCCCAACCATCAAATGGGCTCTCGTAGCGGCTGGTCTGGCCGATCTCGCTCGTCCTGCACACAAACTGTCACCCTACCAGGTACGAATTCTGTTTCCATCAAAAGGGTTGTCTTATGAAATCTGTGCTAATGGCACAGTTTGCACCCATTGGGTGGGCGTCCCATGGCCACGCTACACTCCTTATCAGCGGCAGTTTTTCGGGGAAAATTGGTGGAGTTTTTGGAAAACTGGAAATTTATGGGGAGCTGGAAAAAAATTGGTAAGGTGGTTAGTAAGTTGTAAGGGCAGTACCGGAAAAGAAAGTGCGCGGTTGTACTGACCGTCCCAATGCTGTATCCTGTCCAGGAAGTTAAGCAGTTCATTTGGAATGTGCCACGTGTCCCTTCCCATTTGGGATTGTACCTAAATGGCTAGGAACCAATCCATATAATGACTTGCGCTGACAAAGTGGAGTATTTATCCCTTCAAACATGCTTGAGACTTACTAATTGCCCTCGAGGGTCGAAGAGCGCTTAGCGGCGGGAATCTGACTCATGAGCTCGCCAATGATCTGCTTCTTATGCTAGTCACACCCAGGGAACATCATCGATGTATAGGAAACTCCTCATCAATATTGACCCCCACCCCGCCCTTCCCGTCAATTAACTTGAGGCTGCGGAGCTCAAACGACTCGATGGAATCCACCGGAATTTTTAATTATTAAATCTTAAGTAAATGGAAATCAACGAGATAAAAGAGTTGCGGAAGGTCGTCGGAGAGGCAGAATGGAAAAGAGAGAGAGCATGCAAGGATTTTGCCTCTGTTGCGAAATTGTGACCTGTGATCCGGAATTTCACGAATGGACTAAATAACATTGGCTCCGTCATTTGCCGCTAAGTCTGCTGTCTCCGCCCACGTGTCAGCTCTCCTATTCGTGAGAGAAACGCAGACAAGGCAAAGATACGTTAACGGTAGGCCACCCTGCGCCGCGTGCCCTTCGCGCTATCTAATTTTTTACTCCAAAATTGCTGTTGAGCGATGGAATGGCGAATAGATTCTACTCGGGACCATTATCACAAGGGATACAAGAACAAGAGGAGAGGGATTTGTACTGCCAGTAAATTCTGTTTGTGCTGACAACTGTTTGAAATCAACCTACTTCCCTAACCGTTCTTAGCTTTTTAATGCTACGTGCATTGTGACGTCAGTAGAAACGGGTACGGGTAGGGCAGGTGGCGTAGACTTCTTCCGCTAGTACTTCGATGCTAGGATCTGATATGTTCGGCAGTTTACGCAAACGGAATCTTATATTCTCTATATTGTGTGACAAATGCGTGTGTGCGTTTTTGAGGGAAGAGACCATCGGTCTTGGAGCCTTCTATCATTTGGTCACATTGAGATTCTCCGACGAAGTTGACAGCTTTTGGTAAGAACAATCCTTTTTTTGATCGGCCATGCGCTCTCTTCCAGTTCAGCAACTGTACTGCTATATGACATGATACAAAAGATTTTGCTGAGATGCAACGCGATGCGAAAGTTATAGTTGTTTGCCCATCCCCAGAAGTCTGCTCGCAACCACACTGTTCATCCTAAGGCTGTGTTGGTGACTGCAATCAAGAGGCGAACCGAGATCTAGCCTTCGAATCGCAGGCGCATACCACAATTCTTGCACTGATTATCGCCACCCTCAAATTCGTTGCGTGACTGATAGGCATTCAACAAAGCTTAGAGCCGTATAAATAAGAACCAATAAGAGCAGTGGGATAAGAACCAAATGCGTGGCGCACCTGTACCCACTTAGAATTCATCAGGTAAGGTCGTTTCACGATTGATAGCGGGAAAGGTTTTTGGGCCGATCACGACCTGTACTTCCTTGGCGACATGGTAACATATCGGCCCTAGTGCATGCCCATGTGATATCTCTACAGTCTTTATAGTCTTTATAGAAAGGCACATGCCTAGGGAATCTCCAAGTCAACGACAGCAGTAGGAGCTGCGGTCGGAGAAGGTTTAGTTACTAGCGTACAGCTGATATCGTCGCATATCAACGTGGCAGCCTTTGGAGGCGTAAATGGGCCTCGCTCGCGGCGATTTCTACTCCTGGTTGTTTCCTTCCTAAGCTCGGCCACGCCTGGTAGAAAATGTTGCCGCGGTGGGCTCATTTTACGCCTCCTGGAACCGTTCAGTCGGACTGCGACGTATCAAATGCACGTTCCAAAGATGAATTCCCGAATAGAGCATCACCTGAGCCAACCAAACATTCTGTTCTTCCTGTGCCCGGGTTCGCGCTAACTGGTACTGGACCTGTTTGGAAGGATGAATAAAAACGATTTTTCCATCACCTGATCTTCGCAAGTTACCGTACAGGTAAACATGTCGCGTGCAATCGCGCAATCTCATTGAAATGCTGCTGCGATTTTGAATGCGAGTGGTATACGTGGCGCTCCCCCTGAAAAGATTGATCGGCTCTGAGCTTCATTCTTTTACCGGAAACTACACTCCATATCCTAGAGATGGGAAGGGCGTGGCTGCCTACCTCATTTTGACTTTGCAGTGGCTGCGGTTTTTGTGGGATATTGTGGTTTTTAGGCAATTTTGGTCATGTTTTGTCCAGCACATGACGAGACAACGCTTGTCTGAAATCGAAATTTCCCATGAAAAACGCATCCTACGCCAGGCCCAAATGTAGTACGCAGCCACGCCCACCAGGGGTTCGGCATGTTCATTATCAAAATCCTAAAGAAATCCTTTCAGAACTCAGCTCTGTGCGCAACGGGTGCCATATGGACACGATACTGTCTGGTGATCACACCGATCAATTACTATCTCAGTAGCGTGAACTTCTTCGTTATGTGCAGTGGATTGCTGCAGTTATGCCGGATTGCACACTACAGGTATATTGCCGAATTAGTCCTGAAAAGGTGCACTGTACTGATGAAACGTTTTTCAGATATACTAACCCTGACTGGGAGCAGAAACAACATTCCCCACAAGTAGAAGAATTGTAGGTATGCAGGTACGTTCAGAATGCTTTTATACTGTAATTCTTCTTATGTTTCCTATAATATTCCTACTACTGTCCACATGAAGCCCAATGTCTGGCCAGGCGCGGTTTGGCGACGGGGGGGGGGGCATTTTGCACTTTTGCTACTTCCCATCGACGTGTCGACCTATCTAGACAGCCTCTTCTCGAGTTGACAGGTTTTACATGATGGCTTGACGACCTTGCTCCAGCTTCACAAGAGTTCACAGGTTTCGCCAGAGTGAGACTTGTAAACCGGAACTAAGGAAGCAATGATAGTACAAAATGCCCCCCACCCGTCGCCGAACTGCGCCGTGTGTCCATCATGAAACTCGGCATTATCTGCAGAATCACCTAAAATATTAGGCATGGGTGAGCCGAAATATACGAAGCATACGTCAGTTGGGCAGGGCTTACCAACGGTGGGCAGAGCATACCCGTGTTGAATGGGGCACCGCTCAGTTAATGCGTGCCTTGACGAC